ACTCTTTCTCATTTAAAAAGAAAGAAAATAATACTGATAAACAAGTTTTTAACTCAAAAGAAAGCTAGGAAGTTCCTCAAACACTAAAACTACTGCGTTTATAAATATACTAGTATCGAAATTGATGACAGTGTGAGCTCTGAAAGGTGGGTCTGAAAGTGCCACTGGGGATCCTGATACCAGCTCTTTCCAAGGATGAGTCTGTAGAATAGACTTTAGAGAAACTAAGACAGGAACACGTGGAGGTAAAGTAGTTCAATACAGAGTTACTTTATAAAGAAGGATACTTAATTACTCACCTGCCAAAAACATAGTATTTTTTCAGTTTGTTGCTGATGGCATTGGCTTCCTGGATCATCATGGAAAGCTTCATGGAACTCCAACTGGACTGAACTACGACAAAGCACACAGAGGGGAGTTCAACACACACAGGCAAACCGACGTGTCTCAGTGGGCAGGGCAATTTCAGAAAAATTACTGATTTTTCTCTCTCTCTCTTTTTTTTGTTTAGACTTTTGCTAGAGGGCATATGCAGTCTCTGGAGAGAAAGTAAATCACTGGCCCCCCACCATGGGGAATGGTCACACCAATCCCTTCATTCTCCTCTCAGGATCTTGGGCATGCATACACGCTCACTAGTGTTTTTTTTTTTTCAAGCCACCAGGTCCAGAACTCAAACCGCAAAGTCAGCCATGTGGGATCCAGAGCCTTAACCACCATGCCTTGTGCTGGCCCAATTTTAAATAAATGATTTTAATTATATATTGCTGAAGGATAAGAGTGGTAGTTGAGTAATTTTTCTTCAACCTTCGTTGGTAAGATAAAGCATTTGTTATGTAAAATGGAGTCTTTTGCCTGTAGAAGTGACAAATGTTACCTGAGTTGACCATTAACAAGTATTGAAAACTACTAGAAGAAAACAGCAAAAAGCTCCATGACACTGGTCTGGGCAATGTTATTTTTGGATCTGACCCCAAAAGCACAGGCAACAAAAACAAAAATAGACAAATGGATGTTTTAAACTGAAAAGCTTCTGCACAGGGGGTTGGCAGGTGGCATGATGGTTAAGGCACTGGACTCCTACATGGCTGACCACAGTTCAAGTCCCAGACCTGGTGACTTGATTTCTCCCTTTCCATCTCTGTCTTTCAAATTAAATAATGATGATAATAATAATAAAGTTAAACAAAATTATTCTAAAAAAATTAAAAGTTTCTGCACAGAAAAAGAAGAGTGGAAAGACAACCTATAGAAGAAAATACTAATAAATGGTACAGGTGATAGAGATTACTATTCAAAATACATAAGAAATTCAAACAACTCAATAGCAGGAAAATAAGAAATTCAATTTAAAAATGGGCAAAGAGGCGGGGCCAGCAGATGGCACAGTGGTTATGTTGCTGGACTCCCACACAGTCGACCACAGCTTGAGGGGCTTGAAACTATGCCTGGTGCATGTGTGTGCATGCCCAAAATCCTGAGAGAGGAATGGAGAAGGGATTGCAGCATGGCCATTCTCCCTGGGGAGTGATTTTTCACTTTCTGTATCTCTGTCTCTGTCTGCCTCTCCACTGAGAACACATTCCCTATAGCAAAAATCTTTCTCTCTTAAAAAAGAGGGGGAGGGGGCAAAGCACCTGAATAGATACTTCTCAAAAGAAGACACATCAGTGGCCGACCGGTATATGAAAAGGTGTTCTCAATGACTAATCATCAGGCAGATGCAAATCTTAGCCACAATGAAGTATAACCCACGCCATTGGAATGGCTATTACCAAAAAGACAAAAAGATAGATGCCAGTAAGGAGGTGAAGAAATGGCAGCCTTGTACAGTGTTAGTGAGACCATGCACTGGTATGGAAAACAGGATAGAGCTTCTTCAAAAAACAGAAATAGAGGGAACCAGCAGTTAGTGTAATGGTTATGTCGCTGGACTCCCGTGTAGTCGACTGCGGTTCGCGTCCCCGACCCGTGGCTTAAAACTCACGCCGGGCACGTGTGCGTGCGTGCCCAAGATCCCGACAGGAGAATGGAGGAGAAGGAATTGGGGCGTGACCATCCCCCCTGGGGGGTGATTTCTCGCTTTCTATCTCTATGTCTCTCTGTCTGTCTGGAGAGCGCACGCGCAACACCAAAAAAAAAAAAAAAAAAAAAAAAAAAAAACAAGAAAAAAAAACCAGAAATAGAGGGCTGGCAGGTGGTGTGGTGGTTAAAGGCACTGGATTCCCACATGGCCAACTACGGTTTGAATCCTGAACCTGGTGGCTTGCTTTCTTGCTTTCCCTTTATCTCTTTCTCTGTCTCTCTCTGGCTAAGTTAAAAAAAATAATAAAAACAAATGGAAATAAATGAATAATTCTTTAAAAAAAAAAAAGGCAGAAATAGAACCACTATAAGATCCAATAATCCCACTTCTGAGTATATATCCAAAGGAAATGAAGTCAGTATTTAAAAAACATACCTGACTCCCATGTCCACTGCAACATTATTCACAATAGGTAAGTATGGAGATAACTCATCTGTCCATGGACCAACATACAGATAAAGAAAATGTTTTGGGACCAGCATATGGCATAATGGTTACATCACTGGATTCCCACATGGCCAACTGCAGTGCGAGTCCCAGATCTGGTGGCCTGAAACACACCAGGCACGTGTACATGCATGCCCAAGATCCCGAGAGGAGAATGGAAGAGAAGAGATTGCAGCATGGCCATCCCCCAAGTGGGTGATTTCTTGCTTTCTGTCTCTCTGTCTCTCCATGAGAATTATTTTATTTAACTTTATTTATTTATTTATTTACTTTTAATTTGACCAGAGAGGGACAGAGTGAGAGACAGAAAGTGAGAAAACAAGCCACCAAGTCCAGGACCTGAACTACGGTCAGCCATGTGGAAGTCCAGCACCCTTAACCACTACGCCATGTGCAGACCCAATAAACCATTTTTATTGTTGTTCTTGTTTTGTTTTTTTTTTTTGAGAGGTTTTGCTATAGGGCGCATGCGCTCACCAGAAAGACAGAGAAAAACAGAGAGACAGAAAGCAAGAAATCACCCCCCGGGGGAATGGCCATGCCGCAATCCCTTCTCCATTCTCCTCTCGGGATCTTGGGCACGCATGCACACGCGCCTGGCGTGAGTTTAAGCCACCAGGTCTGGGATTCAAATCGTGGTTGACTACATGGGAGTCCAGCGACATAGCCCTTATGCCATCTGCTGGTCCCAATAAACTGTATTTTTAAAAAAATGTATATATTAAGGGGCTGGCAAGTGGTGTGGTGGTTAAGGGTCCTGAATTCCCACATGGCTAACCATGATTCAAGTCCTGAACCTGGCAGCTTGCTTTCTCACTGTCCCTCTCGCTCTTGCTCTGTCCCTCTCTGGTCAAATTTAAATAAATAAATAAATAAAATAAAGTTAAAATAAAATAACTCTTAGGAAAAAATGTGTGTGTGTATGTGTATATATATATTTTTTCCCCCAAGGATTATTTATTTAATTTTATTTATTCATTCATTTATTTTAATTTGACCAGAGAGAGACACGGAAGTGAGAAAGCAAGCCGCCAGGTCCAGGACTCAAACTGTGGTCAGCACCTTAGCCACCACGCCACCTGCCGGCCCCCAAAAAATGTCTATTAAAAATGTATATTAAAATAATTAAAATTTTGTTTACTATCTGCTTTTTGTCTTAGTTTGGGCTGCTATAACAAATTACCATAGACTAGCTGAATTCTAACAATACGAATTTATTTTTATTTCTGTCAGTTCTGGAGGCTGGAAGCCCAAGATCAGGGTGCCAGCATGGTTGGGTTCTGGTAAGACTTCTCTTCTGGCAACTAGCAGATGGCATGATCGTTACGTTGCTGGACTCCTACATGGCTGACCATGGTTTGTCTCCCAGACCCAGCAGCTTAAAGCTCACACTGGACGCCCATGTATGTGTGCCCAAAATCCTGAGAGTGGAGGAGAAGGGATTGAAGTGTGGCCAATCCCCGGGGTGGTGATGTCTCGCTTTCTGTCTCTGTCTCTCCAGTTAGGGCACGTCCTTTATAGAAAACTCTAGGGAAAAAAAAAACAGACTTCTCTTCTGGGTTGCAGTTGCCATCTTCTTGCTGTGGCCTCACTTGTCAGACGGAGCTGAGGACCTCTCAGGGCTTTCTTTCCTAAGAGCACTAGTGTCACTCGCAGGCTCTGCCTTCATGGAAAGACCACCTCCAAAAGGCCCACCTCCTAACACTAGATTTTCTAAAAACTGAATATTCTAAACATGATCATTCATACAAATTAATTGAGATTCAGGAAAGTGAGCAATAGCTCCAATAGTACATTTCTTTTCTTTTTTTTTTTTTTTTGAGAGGTTTTCACTATAGGGCACGTGCACTCGCCAGACAGACAGAGAGAGACAGAGAGATAGAAATCCCCCCCCCAGAGGGAATGGCCATGCCGCAATCCCTTCTCCTCCATTCTCCTCTCGGGATCTTGGGCACGCACGCACATGCGCCTGGCGTGAGTTTTAAGCCACTGGGTCTGGGACGTGAACCGTGGTCGACTCCGTGCGAGTCCAGCAACATAGCCATTACACTAACTGCTGGTTCCCTCCCATAGTACATTTCTAAAAAGGTAATTAACTCTAACATTTTAGTAACAACATATACATAACTCTAGGAAACAGCTCCTAAAATCAGCCTATACTCACCCATAAAACTTTTATCCTTGTTACTCCGATTCTGCTGTAGAATTTGTACTTCTTTTGCAATCTTTTGCTTTTCAGTTTCTAAAGCTTCCAGAATTCTTGCATGGCGGATGCTATGGTCTTCTAAAGCCTGATTGATAGTCATTCATGTAGACCCACACATGAGAATATGCGGAGAAAAATAAAATCAGGTTGAGATGATGAATATATTTCACTGTAGTAATCATTTTATTATTATTTGGTTATTACCATTCCTATAACATGTTATATACCTTAAATACAATCAAATCTGTTTAAAAAAAGACTCATAATTGTAATACACTATAATTAAACCTCATTTTACAATATATATACCACTAAGTACTCACAGTTAACATGTCTTACCTTTTCTTATATATAAAAGGCTTTTTAAAAATTATAAATTTCTTTATAAAATAATTTTTCCTTCATAACAAAATCATTAGGACTTTCCGATGACATAGATTAATCTGTTTCTCATATTGATAGAAAGTAAAAAAAAAAAAAAAAAAAGGAAAAACTCAAAAAAAAAAGCCACACTTGGACCAGCAGACAGCATAATGGTTACATCGCTGGACTCTCACGTAGTCAACCACGTTTTGAGTCCCGAGTCCAGCGGCTAAAACTCATGCTGGGTGCATGCATGTGTATGCCCAAAATCCTAAGAGGAGAAGGGATCGCAGCATTGCCATCCCCACCCCAGGGGGTGATTTCTTGCTTTCTGTCTGTCTATCAAGTCTCTCTCTGGCAAGTATTTGCACCCACAGCAAAAATCTCTTTAAAAAAAAAGAAAAGAAAGAAAAGAAAGGCCACACTCAAAAACACATGTTGACCAAATAAAGAAGTGAAATTTAAAGGACACAAAAAACCCTAGCCTGGCACAAATAGTCTTATAGCCCACTAAAAATAATTGTTTTTCCCAGTTGTAAACAGTTCTATATTTTTCTCCTAAAATTGAGGTGGCTCACTAGCCACTTTGTGTCCTCGAGGTGACTAGTAGACTATTACCACAGTATTATAGTATCAGTACTTTAGAATTAGTAGGGGATCTTGGGGCTGGCAGGTGGCATGGTGGATAGGGGCGCTGGACTCCCACATGGCCAACCACGGTTCAAGTCTCGGACCTGGTGGCTTGCTTTCTCTCTTCCTCTCTCTCTCTCTGTCTCTCTCTGATCAAACTGGAAAATAATAATGATAATAATAATAAATAAAGTTAAATAAAATAATTCTTTAAAAAAAAAAAAGAATTAGTAGGGGACCTTCTGCCTCCCCACAAACTTGAAAAGAACTGAAATTGCCATTTGCAAGTAAAACCATTAAAATGAAAATATAAGAAATAAAAACAGAGCTTAAAATGATGGCTCTCGAACTACAGTATTCATCAGAATCTCCTTATGAAGCCACAACTACCCTGTCCTTAGTCATGCCATGCAACAGTGGAAATAGTACTTGCTGAGACAGATTCTGGGTCTGGTGCCCAGAAGTTCGGATCCAGTGGTGCTGGAGGGACAGAAGGGTCTGCATTCCTAACAGGCTCCCAGGTGGAGCTGCTGCTGCTGATGTAGGGACCACACTTCAAGAACCAGAACACAAAGAGAGACTGGCCAAGAGGAAGGACAGGTGGGACCAGCAGGTGGTGTGATGGCTAAGACACTGGGTCCCACATAGTTGACTCTACGGTTCAAGTTCCAGGCCTGGCAGCTTAAAAATCATGCCAGGTGCATGTGGTTCATGCCCAAAATCTCGAGAGGAGAATGGAGAAGGGACTGCAGTGTGGCCAACCCGCGCCCCCACAGGGTGATTTCCTGCTTTCCCTCTCTTTGTCTCTGTCTCTCTCTGGCAAGTGCACACTCCCTATAGCAAAAAAATAATTTAAAGCATAAAATAAAAAAGAAGACTGACAGAAGGGTGACGGAAAGTGTTAACATAATCACGTTCTGGTTTCACCCATCATCCTTGTGAACATGGTTAATGTGAGCTGCCCCACCCTCAACGAGGTGACCAAAGTAGGTGCCTATGCTCATGACTAGGGAACGAAGGCCCAGCGAGTCCTGGGAAATAGCCTGCTTGCTCTTTCCAGACAGGTCATGCTCTACTGTGACAGCACGTGACCCAACGTAAGGCCATGTCTTTCTTCTTTCTACATACTGTGCCCTGGTACTACCCCCACTATTACATGGCATGACTGAGGACAGGGTCGTGGGTGAACGACCAGAAAACTGGGATAGAGGTGCTGAAGTAAAAGCTCTGATGTTCCTTCAGAATATCTGCATGACGACAAGCGAGGAGATCTGGGAGCCGTGCCAGGACATCAGCTTTCAGGAAGAGAAGCGGGACTCGCCTGCAGACCTGGATTTGGCACTCTCCTCTCTAGATACCAGAAAGTCGGGACCAGCAGAGGGCATAATGGTTATGTCACTAAATTCCCACGTAGTTGACTGCAATTTGAGTCCTGGACACTGTGGCTTAAAACTCTTGCCAGGCACGTGTCTATAAGTGCCCAAGATCCCGGGAGGAAAATGGAGAAGGGATTGCAGCAAGGCTCTCAAGTGGGGGGCATTTCTCACTTTCTGTCACTCTGTCACTCAGGTGAGCACCCACACTCTACAGCAAAAATCTCTCTCTAAAAACGAAAACAAATCCCAAAAACCAGAAAGTCTTTTAAAAAAAAAAAAATCCAGCTTTTCTCAGAACAGAGCAAACCAGCTAGACGGTGCCATCACCTGCTTCGTAGCCAAGGTCTCCATCTCTAACCGCTTCCTGTTGAGGTAGACTTCCTGTTCGAGATGCTGCTTTGCCTCCTGTAATTCCTCAATTTTGTGGTTGGCCTTTTGGTTATTTATTTCCTGCATTTTCTTTCTTTGACACTCTTCTTTCTTTAAAGAACAATAATAAAAATAACTCGGGCAAAAATAATACCAAAAAAAGATACAGAGAAGTCCCTTCTTTAGTCAATGCACAAGAAATGACTCACTGTCTCCACTTCATTCAGCCTGACTAACCTGACTGCAGATTAACTTGGCTAGGCAAACTTTAGTGCGCTCTCTACAGGGGGCTGCTGGGGTGCAGGGCTGCCAGCCACCAGGAGAGCCAGGCCCCAGCGGCTGGAGGGCAGAAGTTGCTCCACCTGCTTCTCTCCTCCCGGCAGCAGATGTCGGGGACCAACTTGCCCTGAAAATAAAATAAAGCGGGCCAAGGCTCTCTGCAGCTTAGACACTGACCTCTGAAACTCCCCCACCCAGATACCTAATAGGGGCATGACTGACGCTGCAGCCATCACATCACTTGGGGTGCATTGTCAAAAACCCCGTAAAAGCCAAGGCCAAGCCCTGTCCCACCACGTACCAGCTCTGCCTCCAGGGCTTTGATCTTGCCCTCATATGCAGCTTTCTGAGAAGAGAGCTGTTGCTGAGCCATTTCTTTTGCAATCTGGATTTCTTGCATCATTTCTTCCTTTGCTTTCAACCATTCCTCTTTCATCTCTGCTTCAAGTCTGTGAAGGGGCCACATAGTACAAGGTATGTGGTTACAAATCCTTTATACTGGGTTGTCGGAAAAGTCATGATGTGTTTTTTCTGTGTAAAAATGTGTCACGACTTTTCCGACAACTCAACATATAGTTCTTAATCACATTACAATGTTTTCCACTGAACAAAAATTTCAACCTTAAAACTTCATTTCTGACTTTCTATCAAGTGTTCTTCAAATTTTCATTAGCTCTAGAATTATTTACATGGAAAAAAGTATACCAATGAGCTGAACCATGCCTCAGTGGTAAAATGTAATACTGGAGCAGATGACCCACATGGGAGTCTTCCAGGCTTGGGTCCAGAGACATCCCCAATTACATCAGGCATGGTGTGCCCGAGGGCTAGGACTGACTGAGGCTGGGAATGGCACCAAGACCCAGCTCATGGTGTGGTCTCTCTCTC